ATTGGGTTGACATGCTTGGGAGGGAGGGTAGTGGAGGTGAGGGTAAGGGGGAAAGAGCAACCAAAGGACTTACATGCAGGCATAGAGGCCTGACCAATGGACACGGACAACGGGGGGGAGGGGGGTGGAGGGTGATGCGGGGACAGGGACACACATGTAATATCTTAATCAATAAAAAATATATTAAAAAAAAAAATAACTGTTTGTAACAGGTACCCTGTGAGCAGGAAGCTTGGAATGGCATCAGTGTCGGTAACTGTCTCGTAATTTTGATGGACCTTGTAGGACTTGTTGGAAACAGCTCTGAAAAGGGAGATAAAATATCAGGCCCAGAAGCTAGCACTCTAATTCCCATGTAGCATGGGCTATTATCCCACAGAGACCTGGATTACTACCCCAGACTCCAAAATAATTCTAACAATCTTACCTCTCCCCCTTGTGGTCTAACCTCTCCGTTATTCTCTTGAATTTAGAGCACCTGAACTCCTAGCTGCCACCATGAACTGATAATGAACTGGCCCCCAAACACTCAGGCACTCATCTCCCATTACTGGGGCTGTTTCACTTCCAAAGCCACCTGATGCCTTCCTTCAGGCATATCCTGAGGCCTATACCTGATTTGGGTCCTACCATAGAAGGTTTTAAGATAATCATATTTAAATCCTGACTCTCCTAATGAGCTTGTGCTTATTAATAAACAGGCAATTTTCCTTAATGTTTCTTGTGGCTCAACCATTTCATATATTGCTCTGCAGTAAAGATAGATTAGCCCCTACATGTTGGTTTCATCTTATACAATTTCTTTAAATGAGAAAAAATATACAAAGGGTTTAATACATGTACACAGTAGACAGTCAAAACATAGTAGCTACTGCCTGTCTCTGAAAGTAGTATTGTGTTACTATTTACCAATCCATGAGTACATTTCATGTTCCTCCTAAATGATTAACTATATATGTCCCACAGAAAACCTTTGTGAAATTCAGGATTTCTCATAGACCCTGGGGTAAGAGGTCTATGTTCCAACTTTTGCTGAGGAATAACAATAGGCACAGTCATTTTCCCCCAGGATACAGAGGGACGGATAGGTTAAACTAGGGCTCAAACTGGCCTCACAGGTCTAAATTCTGTATGACCCAGGAGAGAATAAGGAAATCCAGAGGTGGAGGGCATTAATAGCAGCATTAAGTACATCCCTCACAGGTCCTCCTGTCCCTAGGTCTAGTCCATTGCTGAAGACCTCAGTTGATTCCAGTTTTACTAGGGATCATGAAAAAAGTCGAAACTAGGATAAGTTTTCCAGAGATTGGAAGGTGGCACTGTTTTCCTTCTGAGTGTCCTCCAGATTATGTATCCCAAACTTTCAGGTACTTTCCAAGTACAGATCAGACCCCTTGTGAAGAGCTTCCTTT